AATACAACACAGAGATCATACATCCTTAACAAAGGCCGTTTCCAGCAGACGGTAAATGCCTACGATAGCAGTCTTTCTGTCATATTTGTGTCGTGACTTTCAGTTGTGAAACCTACCCCAGGCATGACAGCAGTGTCTGGGCCTCCAGTTGCGTTCTTTTGGGTTTTCTCATCACTCCCGACTGGCATGTTCTGCGGTACAGCAGCCGTTTCTGCCAGCTCCACCCCTGCCCTCCTTACCTGCCTCTCCCCATGCCACCAACACGCAGACAGGGCAGACAAGCTGTTAAAGAACCCAGAAAGAAGAGGGAAAGGATAGGGCAAGGGCTGAGAGAAAAGCCCTGTGCAGCCAAGATGGCAGACAGACCTTGTCAGGAGGGAGCCGGCCTTGCAGGAAAGGCTCAGCTCTGCCAAGAAGCACTGAGAGGCTGTTCCGCAGGTCAGACCAGGGAGGAGTATGTCAACAGATCGGATTTGCTACAGCCAGAGCTGCAAATCTTCAGGTGCCTTAGAGGAGGTTTCAATGCACTTTCAAACCCGAATTTCAGAGGGTGGGCTCTGAAAAGCTTGACTTCTATTGGGGCCATAAGCTCCTGCGGGGCTGAGCGGACCAGAAGATGACCTTCCACTCGTCCAAGACATCTTACAAGGCTTCCAGCTGGAGGCTGGGGGACCAGACGAGATGCTCTTTCAGTCCCTCCTAAGGAAGCTGATTTTAGGAAGAGGAAGCAGGGAGTCGGGGCTGGGCAGCTGCCTTAATGTTGCTAATCAACCGGCCAAGTCCAGGCTGGGGAGCAGCGAGGGTGCTTAAGGCAACGCTAACCTGAGTGAGTCCTGCAGGGGCTGTCGCAGCATAGGGCCCCCACCCTGCAGTCCTCCTGTGGAAGGGCCTGAGCTCTGCACACCTGTGCTCACTCAGTGCGTCCGGGTGGAGGGGCACCCAGCTTTCCCTGGAGGGGCCTGAGCTCCCTTACTGTCAGTGCGTCCGGGTGGAGGGGCACCCAGCTTTCCCTGGAGGGGCCTGAGCTCCCTTACTGTGAGGTGGAAGCAGCTGATGGACAGTTTGAAAGGTTTCCAGCAGAAGCTGAGGCAAGAGGGGCTCCCTCAGCTGGACCATCCTGCACTGTGTAGCGAGGGAGCCCAGCCCAGCTCCAGGCTTCCAGAACCTTCCAGAGCCTTCTCCACTGAGTTCCTCGAATTGAACCCCAGGAAAGGAGAAGCAGGTTCTTCCCAGGCTCACCCTACCTTAGAGACCCAGGGAATGGTCCCAGCCAGGTGGGGCCTCTTGGAGTCACTGAGGGGAGAAAGTATGTGTGAAGAAGGGAAAAGTGAGCCACGATGACTTTAAACACGGGGCCAGAATTTCTATGTTTCCTGGGCTTTTGCCCAGAAGCCTCTGAATCCTAAGTAAGGAGTCGTATCCGAGGAAGACTGAGGCCAGGGCTAGTCCCAGACAATCCTGGGAAGCAAACCAGGTTTGGATTTGACCTCAGCCACGTTCGCTACTCCAGTGATACCATCCACCCCCAGCTACTTGAGGGCAGCAGCTGGGTCTTATTTGTGAATCCCACCTAGCAGGGTGCCAGGCATGTAGTAGGTCTTTGTTTCAATTTTTCAACATTTTCCTCCCTATTTTACAATCAAAGCTGATCCCAGAAAAAGATAAGATTAGCTCATTCACACTGGGGTATACATGAATAATAACAGCTTAAAGCATTATTTGTATTAGGAGGATTTTAAAAGAGGAGACAGAGAAATGAAGTTATACCATGGAGGTGGGCACACTGTATCTATTTATAAGGCCAGTTGCAGTGTGAAGTGGAATAATGAGGGAGAGTGTGTGTGCGTGTGTGTGCGTGTGTGTGTGTGTGTGTGTGTGTGTAGTGCCCTGTATGAGCACCTGCCTCCCCTCCACCCCAAACAGCATCCACCTGAGCCTTCCACAGAGCTGCATGTCTTTGATTTGGATTTCCTGTGTTAGTTCTCCTGTTTTCCTTTGCAGGGCTCTACGTGCAGGAGATGGCTGATGAGAGCACGGCCAAGCTGTACTCGGGGCTGCTGGGAGTGGGGGATGAGATCCTCGAGGTGAACGGGGCCAAGGTTGCAGGGCTGGGCTTGGCTCACATTAGGGAGCTCCTGGCCCACGCGGAGAGCTTGTCGATCCGTGTGCTGAGGCAGAGGCCTGTCCCACGGTGACCCAGAGGTGCCTTTGCCCTCACCGTCACCCCCTTGGAAACTCTGAACCACCCCAGGGGGTGGCTGGGAATGCACTACATAAAGCTGCTTTGTCTACTGAAAATGAACATGGTGGCACGTAACCCCTTGGGCCTTGGCAGGGCTTCTGTGACTGACCACTTTAGCAGAGGGAAGGAGCCTGTTTGTGTATTTTGTCTGAGGATGTTAATTTATGCAGAACCAGGGAAAAGATAATGGGTCTTCCGCCCTGACCAGGCCTGAGGTGTTGTCAACATCTTCCTGCACCTTTGTTGGCAGGGGGAGGGGAGAGATTCAGTGCGTCCTTCGGTTGGTCCCTGAGCACCGCCTTACCCCCAGGTCCCATCCCACACTGTCAAGGGCTCCCCCAGCCCCTCCCACTCCAGAGCCAAAGAAAGTACTCGGCCATATTGGCCTTGAGCCCGCCTTTTTCAGTCTCATTTCTCCCAGCTCCCATTCGACACCTTTGCTTTTTTTCCAGAAATGGACAAAGTGTCCTGGAATAACAGCCTTACAGCCATTGACCATATATTCCAAACCCAAAATTAGCACGTGTGGTCTGGTGGGAGAACATCTGGGAGATGTTATCTGGTAGTCAGAATATTAGGACGTTCTGGGAAACCTTTGTGATATAAGGTTGAAGGAACAAAATGAAACCGAGACCAATTTCAGGGAAGTGCAGCTGTGGCCAGTGGGACCGGCCAGACCAGCCCTGCCCCCCACCACAGCCTGGCCATGAGGACCTCTGTCTTCCTTCTCCTGTGACCTTGGACACGGGCTGCAGCTGGTGCCAAGCTGTCCCCAGCCACAAGCTCTCTGCCCAGACTCCCTGAGGGCAGCTGTAGGTGGGCCGCTGGCAGGGAGATGGCAGGGCACGAGCAGCGGGATGGGCTGTCCTGCCTGGGTGCGTCCACTGCCCAAAGGGTTGGGACTCTCTGGGAGTAGGTGGCTGTGTGTCAGTCTTAAATTATTAAAGAACAACGCTGAAACTTATCCTACTCTGAATTGCTAAATTCTGGGCTGGATGCTCACTTGACCTTCACTAGCCTGGCAGGGGCCTGGGGTGGAGGAGGGGGAGGGGAGGAGGGGGAGGGGAGGGGAGGGAGGAAACAAGCACAGCAGTGAGCAGTGTTGGCATGCCAGAGGGGGAGGGCTGGGGAGGCCCCTGGGGTTGGGGTGACGCCAGGGTTGAGGCGGAAGCCTGCAGAGACCATCCTTTGGCTGGTGGAGGAGCCTCGGGCAAGGTGCATTTCGGAGCAGGAGACAGAATGGAGCTAAGGGGCCTCGGACAGGAGCAGTGGGGATGGGGGGGGCGTGGAGTGGGCAGCCCAGGGCTGCTTTACAACTGGCTGGGTGCAGGCTGTGCTGAAAGCACAGCAGAATCAGGTTAGAGTGAGTGTTGCTGCACCTCTCAGCAGGCAAGGTCGCTGAAGGGGACACGTGGCCTGAGAGAAAGAGGATGGGGGAAGGGGTCAGGCAATCCTGTGGAGTGCGTGTGTGCAGTGAGTGTTCTCCCCTCCTAGGGCCTTATCAGCAGGAGCCAGTTAAAACCCCTCTTTACTGTCCCTGGAGGGTAGGGGGAAACTATGGCTCCCAGAGCCCCCCAGCACTGCAGGACGGGGAGGCTGGGCTGGCCTGGGATGGGATGAAGGGGGGTTGGGGAGGCTCTGGCAGGTGAGCAGGGGGACCAATGGAACAAGTGCTTGGGCCTTCAGGATGTGAAGAGGGTGCTGGGACACCTCAGAGAGCAGCCTGGGGCCCCAAAGCATAGAAATAGTCCCACAGCAGAAACTACAGGAGTGGGGAAACCCTAGTGGCTCCCGTACCCCAGCTTGTGGTCATAAAACTTTGGGGAAATTTCATGTTGAAAAATGCTTCTGGGGCAAAAGTCACCTCTGTTTTCTCTGTCTGGTGAGGATGACGATACCGATACCCTGCCTCAGCTGAGAAGAAATGGAAGCGGGGGCGGGGTGCTAGGGCTGGGACTGGGCAGGGAAAGGTCTCTAGGGGGTACTGAGCAGCTGCATCTGTTACATCCCAGGTGGGGGGGTCAGGCTCTTGACACATCTTATTTTGTCCTTAAAATAGTCCAGCCTGGGATGTCCCATTTATTGTCTACATTTACACAGATGGAGAACCAAGTTTAGCAGCAGTGGAGGCCATTCAGACCCGCACTCTGACTCAGCGCCCACTCTTCCTACTGCAGCTCGCTCCCCCCATGCCAGCAAAGGCTGGATGCAGCTCGCTCCCCCCATGCCAGAAAAGGCTGGATGGGGGGGAGGGAGGGAGGCACTCTGAGCTGTGTGTGAAGCAGACCTTCCTTGCTCTAATTCCACAGAGGCAGAAGGCCCTCCTTCCTGGGGTAAGATGCTGGGCCCCGACTTGTGCGGGTGGGAGGGGGCTTTGGGTTCTCCAGCCTCCTGTGTGACCTTCCCCATCTGCTCTGCCTGGGGAACTACTGACCTAGAAAGCTATGTCCAGCCCTGCGTCATCCGCGCCTCCCACAGGACCATCAGAACGCTCTTACTTAGAGCCTCGTGTTAACTAGGCGCCAGGCCACATGCCAGGCAGGAGCTCAGAGAGATGAGAAAGACGGGCTCTACCTTACCAGGCCAGAGGCTAGGGGCAGATCAAGCATTCCCACCTGGCCTGGTGGGGCAGTGAGAGGAAGCACCTGGTTAGCCCCGGTGGAGAGCCTGAGAGGGATCAGTGGTTAGCGGAGAGGGGCGGGGCGGGAGACGTGGTGGGGCGGGGGAAGGCAGGCTTACGCAGTGGGAGGAAGTGCGTCCACGCTGGGTTTTGTAAAACGAGGAGGAACTCACAGGAAGGTAAGGGAAAGGACGCTCAGACACGGAAAATAAACAGCATGTGCAAAGGTAAGGACTTCTCCCGAGTCGGCTCTTTGCCCCTCCGGTGGCAGTGTAATGGTACGCTAAGTGTCCAGACCTCGCTTCGCACAGGTAGGCACCTGACACTGCAACAACACGGTACAGAAAGTGGCACCAACTTTAACCTCAGGCGTGACGTCAAATCCTTAGGATGACGGGAGCGGGGTGGGGTGGGATGGCAAGTTCCGAAGCCTCCAGCCGAAACCGCGGGCCCGGTGCTCGCCAGGCAGGCCTGGGAGGCCAGGGCGCCCCGACGCTGATTGGTTTTCTGTTTTTTGTTTGTTTGTTTGTTTTCAGGAGCGCCTCTTCTCGGTGGCGGAGGGGCAGGTGGGAGGCGAGAGCGCGTCTCCTTGGCAGGGTGCGGCCGGGTGCCCCCGGCGTGGGGACCGAGGTGTGTCGCGGGACAGCGACCAGGGGGCGACTGTGCGGGCTATACTGCCCGGCGCCCACCGCGCCCTCCCCGCGAGGCTACTTTGTTCCTCGGGTGTCGCGGGCAAGTCGGGTCGGCCGGGTGGGGCTCTGCGCCGGCCGCACCCTCCCCGCCCCTCCGCTGACCCGGAGGCCCCTGCCGCGCCGGCAGGAGGCTGGGGCGGGTCTGCGCTCCAGGCCGCCAGCCTCGGTCTGCGTCTCCGCGCCTCCGGCCGCTCGTCTCGGCGGGGCCAGGGATGCGCCCGGACGCTGCCCCGTTGGGGACGTCCAGCCGGGCGCAGGCGCGCTCACAGCCGCAGGAGGGTTGGAGCCTGGAGTTTGACGGGGCCGGGTTGTTGGGGGTTTTACACGCCCCTCACCCCGCACACGCAGGACGCTTGGCTCGGCGCCCGGGGCCGGGAGGAAGACGACCCTCCGTTTAGCCTCGAGGAACGCACCGTTGGGGGCGGGGCGGGGGAGAGAGGGCAGCCTGGAGTTGCACGGAGCGCGCGCCCGGCTCTAAGAAGGCGGTGGTGGCGGCGCGCCGAGCGCGGCACGGGGGACGAGCTGGAGCCGGCGGGAGGGGCAGCGAGGCGACGCAGGGGCGGGCACGCGTGGCGGGGTGCAGTAATGGGGACCTAGTGCGCGCAGTGCCCCGAGGGCTGTCGCGTGGAGGAACAGCAGGCACCGCTCGAATTCTGGAAATCAAGGTGAACCTGGGAATTCAGGGACGCGCAGGTGCTGTGCCGTCTCCCACCCTGCTCTGCCTGCTCAAGTATTCCAGAGCTCTGCTGGGGACAAAATGGTCACAATCCTGAATGCTTACGGCGACGTTGCGAGGGAGGGACTACTTATCTCCGTGTTACGAACTAGGAGTCCGAAACTCCGGGGTTAAATTACTTATCCAAGGTGTGATCCAAGGTCACACAGCAAGTAATGAGCGGAGGGAGGATTTGAACCCGGCCATCTGCAACTCCCCGCCTGCGTCCATGCACCTTCCTGGGACCCTGTGGGGCTCACCTCCGTCGGTGAGCAGCTCGCGAGGCCCGGCTCCGCAGTGACCTTCACCATGACGGCGTGGGGGGCTTGGCTCGGGTTTTGCTTCAGGGAAATGGAGCTGGCGCTCCCACCTCCCCGCGGGGGGAGAAGAGTAGGGCGGGCAAATCATTTTACAGAACAGTGTTTCCCTAACTGCAGGCACAACCACTAGTGGGTCACAAAATCTATCTTTTAAAGAAAGACCAACATTAAAAAATAACGGCTTCCTTGCACAAGGCAAGGGTAGGTTTTGTGTGGGAAACGCTTCTTTCAGACGTGTGTCCTGAGTTGTAATCTGAAGTGTGTTCTGGCCATGCTCTGAGGGTGGCATAGAACAGGCCCTGGGGCTGAGGCCGGGAGGCTGGCCCCTCCATTCTGTCCTCAGGGCCCAGCGCTGCCCAACTTGGAAGCTGATGAAACCTGGCCTGGAGGCTGGTGTGAATGCACCTGGCCCCTGGGGGGAAGAGGCCTCCTTGCTCCTACATCCCTGTCATCAAGAGGAGGCCTGTGCCCTGGGGGTGGAATGCAGTGACTGGACTGGACTTCCTGGCCCTCCAAGCTGGCCTCTGGCAGCAGAATTCCCATGTGAACATTTATTGGTTTGAGCTTCAGTTGTTCGTTTCTTGGTTCCACCACACCCCAACTCCACGCATTCATTCATCCACCCATTCATTTAGCTTATTTGTGTGCCTTTGTTGGAGCTATCTTCCCCTTGTCCACCCATCGACCCCAGACAGCTTTCAAAAATGTCAGAGGTGCCTGCCCTGAGAAGCATTCCCTGACACTGATGCTGAAAACTTGTGCACCAGTGCCGAATGGAATCTCGGAGACAGAGTTTTGAGTGAAGTAGAAAAGAACAGCTTTATTGCTTTGCCAGGCAAAGGGGGACACGGCAGGCTCGTGCCTTGAAAACTGTGTGTCCCAACCCGGGAGGATTTGGTGAGGAGTTTTATAGCAATGGTTCAAGGGTGGGGTTGCTGATAAGATTAGGGTGTGTGCAGGGCCTGCACCCCTTTAATCTGGTCTCAGGTAATCTCCTGGTTCCTTTAATCTGGCCTCAGGGGTCTTCTCTGGAATGAAGAATGCTAACATCTTCCATTTGTTAGGGCTTTTAGTTCTGTAAAGAACTCAAAGATATTGTTATGTGTATCCCTTGAGGCAGAACCAGGACCTGCCCCAAGGCTGCACTATTGTTTCTTGGCTGCTCCTCCCTTGTCTCTGCATCCCCTCCCCTCTCTGATTAGCAGCTGTTCGAATCTGCCCTTTGGAACTCAGGGAAGGTCATGGAGGCTGGAGTCTGTTCCCTACAAACAAGAAATGGGGGGCAGAAAGGCTTCTGTGCCCAGGAGCCCCACAGGGTCCTGCTCAGTTTCAACACCTGCATGCTGTGGCTCCCTCCCCTTAGCTCCCGTAGAATCTGGTACCAAGGGCTCTTCATTGTGGTTCTTTTCCCATAGAACTGCTTGTTTATCCTCCACCAAACTTACCTGGCAACAGTTGGACTTCCCTGGCTAATCTGCCCAACCTATTTCCCACCCCAAGTCTCCAGGCTGCCTCCAGAGCTATTGAAAAGGCTGGGCTGTCACCTGGTCCCCTTCCTTCCCTCCCTCCCCATCATCCTCTCTGAGTTTTCCTTTTCCTATAGAGCCAGAGCACCTGCTTAGAAATGGCAACAGCCTTCCTTGGCAGGCAGCTCTGCCCAGCTCTCTTAGGCTGCGGGTTTGGCTAGGTCGGAGTGCTGGGCCCCGAGGAAGGGGCTGCTGGGACTGGCTCTGACACTCTGCCCACGGCGCCAGGGCTTAACAGCTGTCCTGCCAGGCCTGGAGGGTATCTGGGCTCTCCTGTGGATGCTGGGCTGCCTGCTGGGCCCGCCTTTGTCTTGTCCTTCTGCAATCTGGACTCAGGCCCCAACTCACAGTGTGAAGCTGCCCTTATGGGTCTGGCCAGATGCCGGGTACCGGAGAGAGGCCTGCCCTGCCCTTGCGATGCCCATATACCCAGGGTGGAGGCAGCTACAGCTGTGCAGAGAGACAAACCCATGTGCCAAGGGCTACAATGGGAGCCCCAGGCAGGAGGCCCCATTGCACCTGGTGAGCAGAAAGGCTTCCCAGGAGAGCCAGCCCCAGGCTCACTAGCCTCCCTCCAGCTCGGTGTTATCTCAGGAACAAGGAATGCTGGCAGCCATGGGAGCTCACAGCAGCCTTCAGATGCCACAACTTTCTCATCCTGTGCTCCCCAGTGCTCCCCAGACTGTCTCCAGGCTTTTCTGAGTTTATATAATGTTTGCCTCACTTATTTTTTGCACATTTCCAGCCAAATAAACAAAAGCTCCAGAACATTTCATCAGCAAGGCTGAACCCCTTGATTGAGGTCCTTGATCAGATTTCTTGAACTCTGCAGTAGGCTTGTAGGGTTCGAGTTATGGTCTAGTCCAAGGTGGCTGGTGTCCACCATCAGCTTCGGCACTTCCAGTTCAATGCTTTCACCCGCTGCCCACTTGTACTGCAGGTTATTCGATCCCTCTTCCTCTCCTCGGCTTTACTCTGCCGTTTCTCTGCTTAGAACAATGGCTTGCTGAAAGAAACATCTGCTTGCCACCCCTGAAACCTGGATGGTGACTTTGCAGGGAGGCTGCATAATGGTCCAGTCAGACCTGGGTTTCCATTCTGACTCTACCACTTACTGATTTTAACCTTGGGCAAATTCCTGAATTGCTCCATGCCCTAGTTTTCAGGTACAAAATGGGCCTCAACAGTATTTCCCTTGGGACTTCCCTGGTGGCGCAGTGGTTAAGAATCCGCCTGCCAATGCAGGGGACACGGGTTCGAGTCCTGGTCTGGGAAGATCCCACATGCCCGCAGAGCGACTAAGCCCGTGTGCCACTACTACTGAGCCTGTGCTCTAGAGCCCGCGAGCCACAACTGAGCCCACGTGCCACAACTACTGAAGCCCTGCGTGCCTAAAGCCCATGCTCTGCAACAAGAGAAGCCACTGCAATGAGAAGCCCCTGCACTGCAGTGAAGAGAAGCCCCCCCTCGCCGCAACTAGAGAAAGCCCGCACACAGCAACGAAGACCCAAGGCAGCCAAAAATAAATAAGTAAACTTATAAAATCAAAACCCCAAAAAAGAGTGTTTCCCTCATGGGGTTGTGAGAATAAACAAAAAAGTGTTTTACTTCCTCAACATGTCCCTAAGGCCTTGGTCAAAGACCTGCTGGCACATCAGATTCTCAGCAAATATTGGCCAGAAGTATTAGCTTTATTAGCTACTAATGAGATATAAAGATTGAGAAATTTGCTCCTGGAAGAGTTGACGACCGCTTCCCAAAGGCCGGCCAGTCCCGTGAGCTTTTGTGAATGGAGACGAAGTATTTAACAGTGTCCCTAAGGGAGGACGGAGAACGGAAGGGAGGAAGCGGCAGTGCAGAGGTCAGGGAGGCTGGCCTTGTGAGTACATGTCCAAGTCCAAGGCGGCTTCTGGAGCCCATCGCTCCCTCCCTGTGAGGTAGTGGCGGGGACGTCTGTGCTCAGGCTCTGCCTGCACCAAACAGGAGCCACGGCTGCGTTCTGGCTGTCGGCATCCTGGAGTGGGGGCCCTGTTCCCAGACAACTGACACCCCGATGTTCCAAGGATGGGGGCGCACTTTGAAACGTGTCCTCTTGGACAGTGAAAACATTGTGATGGCACGGATGGGTCTTCCCGTCCTGTGAGTTCCGTTGTTGCCTCGGGCCTCGGCCTCGTCTTTTAGCACTTCCAACAAGAGTTCTGTGTAAGACTTGCAGCCAGTGGGACCTTGGGAACAACAGCACTCTTGCTGAGCCGTGGGGATGCGCTTCTCCCCTTGTCCACGCCACGTGGTCCACGTTGGCCCCTGGGGTACAGGGAGGTGATCGGCTTTTATCAGGAGATACATGGAACCATTTCCTCCTGAAATATTCACCGTTAACTCTCAAAATAAGCACTCACTCCTCTGTCGAGGCTGGTTGGTATGTTGATTCGCCTCTGCCCCTTATGGCTATTAGGGGGACGTCAGGCTGAGGACTCGGGAAGCACTGCTAGGTCAATTTCTATGTGAGGCAGCGGGGGCACAGTATGTGGTCCAGTGGATGGACCTTGAGAAATTACTTGTTTCCCAATTTCCCCATGTGCAGATTTGAGATAATATTAGATGAAGAAACCTCTCTGGTTCACACAGCCATTTCCAGTGCTATATGTGTTAACAGCAAGTACTTAGAACAGTGCCTGGCACACAGAAGGTGCTCAGTCAGTCTGAGCAAGGGTGATGATGGCAAGAGGAATGAGGAAGATCCCTGCCCTTAAGGAGCTCACGTAGCCCGGTCGCCTTGTCCCGCAGAGCTACCAGCTGGGATGGGCACTATCCTTGTTGGTTAACACTTCAGCAAGAGGGAAATACGGGACTCAGTTCCTTTGTGTTCTAGTCTCTCTTCTCCCCCAGGTGCCTCATTCCAACTGAAACTGTGTCGTATGATACTGTAAAGGAATAGTATGGCTGCTTGGGGGTTTAAGAATTCATATAACGTGCTCAGCCAGAGAAAACAGTTTAGAATTCACATCTTCCACCAGGTACAAACTTTTCCCACCCCAGACATATGCACGTATCCATGTTTACTAGTGGGGATGGAAGGAGGAGAGGGAGCTCTGTTTCGGTATGAAAAGAACTAAAAATAAAAACCAACCAAGTCAGAAACCAGGACAAAGTTCATGGTCTCTCCATTTCTCTTTAATACTGAACAGTAGTCTTTATACAGTTGTAACATGATTTCAAGAGTAGAAGTAAGAAACATTACTGATAAACTTCAGGGTGTAAAAATATCACTTTTAAGGATGGCTAGTTGAGGCTTTTTTAAACACAAGTTTTTTTTGTTTTTTTTTAAGTTTTCAAGTTTATAGTGTCATCAACTTTTGTTTAATGTCAGGATTACAATGAAGGCCATGAAGCTGTTTCATTTTACAGGGGTGGTTTACTGTAGCCTAAATTCCACGATGCAGAAGCAGTGGTTCGCACACTTGACTGTGCATCAAATCCCCTGGAGGGCTTGTTAAACAGCCCACTCACCCCACCCCAGTCTGTGAGTCTGGGGCGGGGCTCGCGAATCTGCATTTCTAGCAAGTTACCAGGGGATGCCGCCGCCGCTGACGGTCCCACACCACACTTGGAGACCCACTGCATACAGGAAGCAAGCTCTACCCACAGCGGGGCTGTGAACTGCTGGCACCAGGGCTCTGGCACTGTTCTCGTGTTGGGTGCGGGGAGAAAGCACCATCTGGAAATCACCACGGCGTTTTGCATTTCTAATCCTTGATCTCACTTCTTTTGTTTGTACCTTCTAGTTAATTAAAAATAAAACGCCGTAAGGTTATTTATCCTTGAAAGGAAAAAACAATCGTTTAGTCCTGCTGAGCACTGCCACGTATTACACACTCTGTTTTTAATTACATTAATTTTTTATTACAAATGAGCCGGTGAAAGCTTACTTCCACTTACAAAAACCAAATCCATCATCATTTACAGCTTGCTTTCTTTGGCCCTTTCCGGGTTTGCAGGCCACCCCCCAACCCTGAGCGTTCTCCCAGCCTGGGTCAGCCAGGACGTCATAGCATGGCACTTAGAGCAGTTCCAGTAACTTATTAGTGGGACACCTACCTGGCCTCTCCTCACCTCGCACAGACAACAGGGCACAGACGCACAATCTACCTGAGGGTTAGGACGGCTGTCTCTCCCGGAACCGACTAACTGTGGCGTCACAATTCCCATTCAGTAGCAGGGTCTCAGCCAGAACCTACTTTCTGAAGAGCAGGAAAGAACCGTCCTGAACTCGGTCCCACCCCGGGGCTGACGGAAAGCCGGGCTGGAGTGGAGTGCTGGGCTGCTGCCAGGGAACAGGCTCAAGAGCTCCGGTCAGCAGACAGCAAAGCCAGGTGGTCTTATTTCTAACACCCCTGGATAATCAAGTGGCTTCCGGGTTTGATAACTCATAACCTTTTAAAAAAAAAAAAAAAGTAAAATATACTTTCTCACAAAGCGTCTGGCTGCAGCTGGCAAACCAGGACCATGAAATGTTCATGTGAAACCCCAGCAGTAGGGCAGGTGATCGGACAATCACAGTCTAAGCACAGCTCCCATCTGCACGGCCTCGGGGAAGGGCATTTCTGGACAAAGGTCACATCAGAAGGAAGACAGCGCCAACACATTAGCTTATGTCAGAGGGAAACCAAGTTCTTTTTCTTTTTTCCTCACCTCCCCAAGCTTCTGTCCTAGTAAAGAGACTTATAATATCATATAACAACTTTCAGCGCATGGAGATCGCAGCAACGTGACCAGAGCGCCAGTGGTTGTCCAAAAGCAAAAGACATCAAGTGGCTGTGCTGAGGCGGGAGCGTGACAAGCCACTACCAGACTACATCATGTCACTGAGGTCAGCTTGGTCCAGACGGGGTGCAGGCTCCCCGGTGCCAAGTCTGGACTGCAACCCACCCAGTGACTCCCATGTCTGCTGCGGGAGCTGAAAGTTTCAACGCTGAAACAAGAGGACTCCTGAGCTAAGTGACCATAAGTCCTTCTGAGGCTACCGTCGGGGATGCTAACACCCCAGAAGTCGGCTAGCTTGGAGCTTCAGCCCCAGCCTGGGGGACCCGGCACCCGGCTTCGGTCTCCAGGTTCACAGCAGTGCCGTCCTAGGCTCTGAAGGGCTGTCCTCTCTATTAAGAACTCTCCTGGGGTTCTGGACTCGACAGCAGCCTCCCTGTGAGCGTTATCAGGCAGACATGGTGGGACAGCACCCATGTTTTAGAGACAATAGACGGACACGGGCCTTGCAAGACAGGAGCTCCTTGTTTTCAGCACAAGCATATTCTGTGAAGGATGGGAGCTGGGCAGGACAGAGTCTTACCTCCTCCTGCCAGGGCAGCCCAGGGGCTAAGCTGCCCCTCGAGCAGGGCCCTGGAGGAAGAGGCCGCTGCGCCTGACGGCCCCTCGGGGCCCTGTCCTCGTGTCCCGACTGTGGTCGGGGACAGCGCCACCTGACTGCGGGGCTGAGGACCCTTTGGCTTCACCTCCTCTCTGCTCTTGATGGACAAAGAACAGTCTTCAAAAAGAAAAAAAAAATCTTTAAAAACCTGGGAGTGGAAGAAATGCCAACGAGAGTTAGACGAAGAGGGAGCACTGACGGTAGTGCGTTCCGTGTTTTAGAACTTCAGCTTTCCAGACAGTCCGAATTTTGTTTTGTTTACAAATTTGTCCTGTGTACGAGGTAACGCCAAATGGTCCAAATTCCAGAGTGGGAAAACAACTCCTATTTATCAGTTGGTTTGAGATCTTCAAATGCTATGCGTTCTCTAGAAAGGTGGTAATGGTCTCACTTGACAGGGAAATTACCAAAAGGAAGATCTTGGCTCTGCCACCTTCACTTACAGAAGGTAAAACACTTAGCGGAGACAGATTTCTGCTGGAGTTAAGACTACATTTTTCTTCGCAGCCCTTAATCTCACGAGGTGAGAAGGAGGGGAAGTTGCCAAGTTGTTGGCTACCAGACCCATCAGTCTGTTTAACTCTGGCTAAAAGCAGAGAATAATGGGCAAGTTACCAAGTTTCTCCCCCGACTCTGGCGTGAAGATCCTCATGTAACATACATGCTGCGACTTCCAATTGCCACACGGTAGCGGCACACAGAGCGCATTGTGATTCTTCACAGTTCTCACAAAGACGAGATCAAAAATCAGGACGAAAAACTAAAGGTATTTCGGTTTTCCAGCTGGAGTCCCACTCTGGCAAATGCTCTCCATGGTTCATGACCCCATTCTACACCCCACCTCACCAAACCAGTGGATGAGAAATGCTCTTCCAATAAACAGAAGTCGAGCTCTTTCTGTTCGTTATCTGTCATATTCTGCCAGTTTTTTAGCAATGACGAGTACAGCACGAAGTACAGAGGCTGAAGGAGAGAAAAAGCCCCACGGCTACAGGAAGTGCCTCTAAGCCTTGTAGGGGTGTCGCGGGCATCCACTCCGCCCCCCCCACCCCCCCGTCCACCACTCAGGGTCAGGGGACCACTTGCAAGGAACCCAAAGCATCAGGATCACTGATGAGGAAACCTAAGCCCCTGGCATGCTCTCTCTGCCAGTCTGGAGTCTGACTGGGCGGTGGGCATGGTCTTCAAGTGAACACTGGTCTGTAGTGACTGCTCGGTCCTGGTACAACAGGGTGGGTCCCAGGATCAGGTCACGTAGGCCGGAGGTTACATCTCGGGCCAAGCGGCTCTGACAAACACATGAAGAGGCGGCCTATCGGAGAACGGCTCCTCCAAGGCCAGAAAGAGCAGCGGCCCTACAGGGAGAATGCCGTAGTGACGGGATTTTAAGCAATTTTTCTTTCTAAACAGATTCCTCTTCGGCTTCAGCCCAGTCTGGTCTACAATAGCCACTGTTTAGCAAACACCTTAAATCAGCGAGCCTGCCGACTCTAAATATCCCCACACATTTAGTAGTTAAGCCTCGGCGTCACAAAACTTGGTCCCTGAAGCATGGGGAGAACCTTACTCACTAATGACCAGCGTGTTCCCAACAGGCCCTGCTGACACACGTCAGTTTCGAGGGGCACAGTAAATCTGGTAACACCCACATAATGGCATGGCGTTTAAACAGGGTAATCCTGTAATTCATCAAGAAGCCGGCTGCTTCGTGTCACATGGAAAGTGGGGATTACAGTACTGAGACAAGGTCCACATGGATATTTAAAAAGACGTGTACATTTTAATGTAAATCTAAGGACCAGCCCTGTCCTCAGTTTGTAGAAGACTATCTTAACAAAGTCTCAAAACTCTGTAAAACAAATAATCTAGTATCCTACACCTGAAGCCCTTTGTAATAATCACTTTTTTTCGTAATTTGAAAAGAAATAACTTATATGTCAGAGTTGAGTGTAAACGTGGATGTCAATCACCCTTTTAGTTTTATAAACCTGCTTTTAGCTTTCATCAACAGGCAGATTTCCTTACCTACCATGATATAATACCCTTCTTTTAAAAATTGTTACAAATATTAAAAAGTGCAATTCAAAGGTTAGCTAGGCAAGTACATCATTACAAACCACACACACACACACACACACAGAGAAAACAAAAGCCCAACACAGACAAGATACAAACGAAAAAAAAGCGTACTGAGGAGTGGGCCCCAAGAGATGGGGAGATGGAAGTCAAAGCTAGAACTCTACCCAGATGTTGCTGTGCTTCCCAAGTGCAAAAAAGATAGGAGAGACCTGCAGCCTCCACTGCCAAGTGCTGGCTCTGGGTTCAGCCGCTACTTCAATATTAGGTTTTCACCAGGGAGGTTATAAAAATATCCTATATACATGTGTACACTGGAGGCATTTTAAAAGTCATCAGAAGCTTGAAGGGTACAGTGTCTCAGCAGTTTCAGCTACTAAAACCCAATTGAAGTGTCTGTCATTTAAATTTGGATTGGCTCAGTTATTTGAATGGATGATAAAATTGAATTGTCATCTCAGGGAAAAAGGAACCAAGTTCACCTACCCATCCTTGCAATCACTCACAGGGTAAGAAAAATCTGGTCCAGAACTAGTCTTTTTGACATCATAGTTTCTGAGTAAATGTAATCAACGTGCGGGCCCCGCCCCCCCAGCCCCCAAGGCTGAGTGCTGCAGGAATAGACACCACCTCGGGATCTCAGTCCACTCACGTGAGCTGCTCATCTAAGGGTCACTCTAGAAATGCAACTTGCACCTCTAGGGAGGAGGCTGTAGGACAGCGGCATGAATCCAGCAAGGGCCTGACCCTGGTGACCTCACCCGCCCTCTCCAGCTGTGTCCTGCTGCCCTGTCCTCCCTTCAAGCCACAAGTTGCCAGTGCCCCCAAAGCCCAGTGCTTTTCATTCTTTTCCATTGGTTATTCCTACCACAAAAAACTGTGCTCGGGGAAGCACCTTCACCCTAGCACTTATCCCTGAAAAACCAGTCACTGCATCTTCTGTCACAAAGTACTTCCGAGCCCTCTGTCCCCACTAACCGCCAGCTTTTGGGGGCAAAGGGACGCTGCCGCGACAGGATATGAAACCCACCCAGGGGCCCGCATCCCCGATGGATGCCCCTGGATGGGCCAGCGCGTGCTGTCTGGCGGGGGAAGGGTCTGAGCGGGGGGTGGGGGGCGGGAGGAGCTGCCAAGACGGATGGAATGAGCAACAGCCAACACGAACCGAGTCTGCGAATTTTTCTGGATTCCTCGAAGGCCCTCCAGGGGGAGCGAGGTCCAGGGGGGCAAAGCAGGGCCCGTTGTCCTCGGATCCGGGCCAGGGGGCACCAGGAGTGTGCAGTCGTCGACTTCCTCTTCCCGCCGGCCCTCCCCAAGCTGGGCTGAAGGACCTGATCTCCATGGTGGGGTCACAGAGAGAAAAGTCAGCGCAGGCTGTGTTTCCAGGCGAGGGACGCGAGGGGCGGGCACACCGTGCACTGCTTCTCCCTCTCCCCTCAGGTTCCTGTGCAGGAGGAAGCGAGCTGGGGGCCCCGCTGTCACAGCACTAAGAAGAGGATGAGCACGACCAGGAGGACCACGAAGAGGACAGCGATGGCACACCACTGGCGCCGATCTGGAAGGCAGGACACGAGGGTCAGCTCTCCCGGTACTCGACGTCCCCCAAGAGACAGTGACAGGAAGCTTAAGGCAACACCTGGATGCAGACAGAATGGGCAGAGGCCCTGAACCTGCCCGGGCACCTGGACTCTTACCGCTGCTCTTCCTGGCCTGCACTGCACGTGCATTCACAACCCTGCCCGTCCCCTGAAAGCCAGCCTTGTAACAAGTACCTGCTTTGTGTCTTAAGTCTCTAATTAGAATCTATGGATCACAGTTCTCTGCTGGCAATCCCTGGAAAAGATGTTGGCGTTGGTATTACAGATCAAAGCTCATCAGCTTTAATCTCCCACCAAAATCAAATCATTTAAACAGTAATCATGTTCTTTTCTTAATGAGCACAATGGAAGGATAGAAAGGAGATGAAAGCTACTGCTGGTCACTTCAGGAAACAATGAGCTGAAAAAGCAAGCTGCAGTGATCACGGGGTGATGAACTTCACACCACCCCTGGGCAAGAAAGATCACTTAACCAGTAACTGTGTTAAAGTAACTGACACAGCTTATCTATAAATAAAAGTGGAATGTCTTTTCTGAAGCTTTCTGCCCTGCTCACAATTTAGAACAGGGGCAGTAAACAAAGTAGCCAGAATCCATCTAAATGGCCGAGAGCAAGGAGGCCCCGAGGGACAGAAGGGCCCACACAGGCTCCCGCCCACAATCCTGACTGCGTCCCCCTAACTCTCAGGGCTGCTGGGAAAGCTACACAACACAAATGCCCTTGCACACTCTGCGGGCCCACGGTCGGGGCACAGGATGCTGTCTGTCGTCAGGATGCACCCTTCACTTGGGCAGATGTAGGAAGAGCAAGCCTCTCTCCACAGAGGAGCCCTGCTGTTTTGCACAAAGGGTCAGGCTGAGATAAAGCCTGTGACAACGCAGCTCAACTGCTGGAAGTAAGAGTTCCATTTAAGTAGAAATATAAAGGTACATACACTGATTCACCAAAAGTTTATTTGAAAGCCTGCAGATTTTAGCACACCAGAGCTATTGAGAATCACATTATAAAAAGGTCTGAATCTAAGAAAATACACTGCAGAACTCTCCACAAAGCAATGCGCCAAGTCCACAAAACATGTACTTAAGTTACTTAAATGCCACGGACAGCAAAGTCTTAGAACCGGCCAACAGAACTGCTACCAAACAGTAGTAAGTAAAGCAAGTACCTTTCTAGTGGCTCATCCTGCTCTCCATCACACATGCTAGAAACTCACTTAGTAACTGGGGATTAGGGTCAAGACCTCAAGTCCATCTGTTCCTTTTCTGAAACAAGACTAGTCCAAAAGGTGTGGGGAAGCAGAGCTGGCCTATAATAGTAATAGATAATAGATTATAGTATTAATAGATAATGGTATTAATCTGTTTAACTATCACTTCAGTGGTCCAGAAAACTCAAGTACCTAGCATTCTTTCATCTATTTTAAAATGTTTACAACAATTTAAAAGCCCTCTCATTAAAATGATTAGTCTATATTCTAGGATGATACAGTCAAGGTAAATGCCTCCTAACAAGGCATCCTGCCATCACAGACCTGGAATTTCCAATACTGAACCAGCTTCCCGTAAGCCTCTACCCAACCCTCCTCCCACCTCCACTCACTTTCTCTTCTGCAACTGCACGAAATAGGGGTTTTCATCGAGGAGGACAGCCATCACACAAGCTAGCACGACCCAGGAATGCTCTTTTAAATGCACTTTCCTCTGAGTTGTTAAGTTGCTTCTAGGAAGCATGAACTGGGCAACCCCCAGCTGTTACCCTAGCAGACTTCACCCCAGAAGGGGCGGGTACTAACCACAAGGGCTTTTGTGACCTCAAGTCACAAAACCAGCTTTTTGCAAGCTCAGGACCTGCCTCAAAAAGTCCGGGGGAAAAAGGGGACTCCACAGGTTTTTCCCCCTCCCAATATAGTCTCTTCCCCTAAAGAGAAAAGATGAACAACAGAATTTGGGAAAGTGAGGGGAAGAAAACCTTGGTATCCACACAAAAGAATATACTTTTTGAGGGTAGGAGATTGACAAGATTAGTCTCTCTTGGGTCATTCAAAATAGTAAGCATGGCGTCTTGGGTGATTTCTGCCCAGGAAGCAGCCAGCACGGGGCGGGGGGGGGGGGGGGGGGGGGGAGCGGAGGTCTCGCCTCTGCAGGGCTGTGGAGCGTGGGCGTTCAGTTACTGCCTAATCAAACTTCAGCGTGTCTTGACACTCTTTCTTTATGCACAGGCTTGGTTGAACAGCAGTGAACTTTCCTAAAAGTTATGGAGGAAAACACAAATTGCCTCTCTGTCAAATTGAAGCCAACACCGCCAAGTAGGAGGCCCCAAGCAATTCTCTGGGGAGCAAACAGAGATTAAAATGAGCCCCACAGGCAAGCTGTCCAAACCTAAGGGCCTTTCAGGCTAAAGGCTCTGTTTCCTGGCTCTCTTTCTTAGACAAACATAACTGAAGTTCTTACTTTGCTCCCCAAACTTTTCTTCTGGGAGAAAGTAGGAGAAGGCATAAGCAGGCCTAGTGCTATTTATACACACTGAAACACTTATCACAATGCACGTACTTTTCTAAATTATTCATACCCAGAATGCTGGGGACAAGGACACAGTGCATCTTTGTTCTGCTGCTCTTCTCCAAACAAAACTGGTGCTGAAGTAGCTACTTGACTTTGCGACTAATACATAAACTAGTGAGAGATCTGGTTGAAATTGGTTATATAATACTTCAGTAAAACTTTTTTTTTTTTTTTTAAAGAGGGGTCGGGTGGAAGAGGAGAGAACAGAGGGAAGCAGGAGAGGACTTTGCAAACCTCCCTCTAGGTGTGTGGAGGACGAACTAAGCTGGTGCCTGCCACAGGCAATGAAGAGACTGCTAGAAGCATGAAGATATTTGCCCCTGGAGAGAATGAAGGAAACCGGGAAGCTAGGAGCTTCCCTTTGTCTTGAATATAACAGGTCCTTTGCCCCCAGGGCCATCTTCCACCTGTCTTATCCTTTATTTTTTTTCAAACAAACATTTACTATGTACTAATACATGAGAGACACCATTAAACGCTTGTACACTAATTATTATTTCATTTAATCCTCACAATGACCTTGAAGAATGTCTCAGTTCCTCCCTTCACCCGGAGACTCCCACAAATAAAGGGAAAAAAAGATACTGGATTTTCTTTTGACTTAAAAAGGTATTATTTCTCATATAATAGGGAAGATGGGTTGTAGTAACAAAAAAAATAGTCACTGGAAAACATCTTCCTACACAGTAACTAATTTGAAAAATGTTGCTTCTTTATGCCCAGCCTGGTGCAAATTTGCTGGAATAGTTTACTACAAATTTAAATAAAAACAGTTTAAATGAGATCTGCAAGGCCATCTTATTCTGAAATGGTAGAGGTTTTCCTTTCGGTGAAAAGTCAGTCCAGGAGAAACAGTAACTGGCTCTTAATTACTGTTTTAAAATGAATTCCCTATTTTGGCAAGGAAATAGGAAAAAAAAGAAAAAGAAGGATTTTGTAATTGTAAAGAAAGTTACTCCACCAGAAGGAACGTCATCCGACACCATCAGCCTTGCACGGTGCGGACCACAGAGGCACTTCCCAGGTGAAGGCCACAAGCAGGAGACAAAGCCCGTGCGTGCTGGTCTTCTACTCTCTGACCCCAAAGCATGAGAAAAATGTGCCAGAGGAAAGGGATCTGAATGGGCACACCTGTGAGAGACCCCCTAGACTGTGTCTCTAGAATTTAGTAAGAATTCTCGAGCTTAAAAGCACATACATACCACTGGTCATGTGAGATACTTTTGCAAGTTTCTTCATCACATTGTCCAGCCGAGACTGAGTGCTCTCCAACTCGTGAGAGAAATCATCCAACATACTAGAAAGACAAGCAGACGCAGGAGGCAGCTGGTCAGCACAGTCTCCAGATACACTGGCCATGGATCTGGGCCTCAGTTTTAGCAACCATCAAACAGGCAACGTTGGGGTCAAGCCCCCAGTCTTTTATCCTTAGGACAAGATATGTTTTTGATTTCAGAATTTTGGAAATTTAAAGAAGTAGTAAGTTACATACACTGTGTATTAGCCAAGCCCCCAGCAGGGTCTGGGACAGTCCCCATAATCAAACACACAAGTTAATATTTCTGCAAAGAAAACTATGAGGAGTCATAGCTGCAGTCAGTTCAGGTTAGGTTTTTCTGTGACATGAGCTTGCTGAAAATTTTTTTTTAATTTTGAATTTTTTAGAGCTTTCTAGATTTCAGAATTGCAGACAAGGCCAGTGTGGACCTGACCATACAATAATACAAACTCAGCAGCAGTGCAGTGTAGCAGAAAGAACACGGTGTGAAGCCAGACAACCAGGCTTTGCCACCTGCTACCTTGGACAAGGGACCCTGTTTGCTTATCTGTAAAATGGGGCAATCCTATCAGCGCAGCTTCCCTGCCAGGATTCCTGTAATACACAAAGCACTTTACAGCAACGTGAGTTAAGAAATACACTTTGATCAAATAAGCACCTCCTGGGCTTCCCTGGTGGCACAGTGGTTGAGAGTCCACCTGCCGATGCAGGGGATGCGGGTTCGTGCCCCAGTCCGGGAAGATCCCACATGCCGTGGAGCGGCTGGGCCCATGGGCTGTGGTCGCTGAGCCTGCGCGTCCGGAGCCTGTGCTCTGCAACGGGAGAGGCCACAGCAGTGACAGGCCCGCGTATCGCAAAAAAAAAAAAAAAAATAAGCACCTCCTTTAAGGCACCCGGTGCTTCATCATAAAGCTGGCGGCCTCAGGACTGAGTTCCTGACGGTGTGTACGCCTCATCTACACCCACAGAGGACAAGCTCACACTGGTTGCTGTCCAAGGTGCAGGTGGGAAAGAAGACACCAAAATACTTATACCAACGGTGTTTATTTCATAAATTACTAAGCATTCCAGACTTTTCAACTTAAGATTAATATATGATTATCCTGAGGCTAGAACGTGACATACCAATTAGTACCTGCGGGCTTATTAACCAGGCTTTATTCCTCTGGCAGCATCAAGGGCAGCTAGAACTACTGGTCTTGGTCTGTGCCCACACGAGGCACCTGACAGCCCTGCAGGATTCCGGCAACCAACTCCTCATTAAGTCAATCATTAAACAAACTCCATGTTGACAACTAAATAAACAAGCCTTTGTCCCTTACCTGAATTTTCAAATTAAAACATTTGTAGCTCATTTTACATCCTGGTAGCATCTGGGCCCTGCAGCTGGCAGACCTATCCAGGCAGGGCCAAATGCTGAGCTACTTTTCTTACTGAAGACAAAAACGGGTAAGTCATCCAACCTCCAGCCCAAGTACACCCACTAGCCACCCACTAACCAAGTTTCTAGCCCAGCTCTAACTAACTCAGCGCTGTCCAAAAGAAATACAATGTGAGTCACGTATGCCACTTAATATTTTTTAGTAGCCACATTAAAAAAGGGGGGGGGATTAATTTTAACGACCTATTTAGCCCAATATACCTAAAAATTATCATTTTGACATGTAATTTTACATTTTATTCATACTAAGTCTTCAGAATCTGGTATGCATTTACGCTCAGGGCCCTTCTCAGTTCAGACTGGCCACATTTCATGTACTTGATGGCTGGTGGCTATTGTACTGGACAGCAGAGGTCTAAGTCCAAGACCCATGTTTTTTCCTTTTAATTTACTTACTATTTTTATTAGAGTTATACACATACACGGTTTGTAGAGCTAAACAGACCTACAAGGCCTCTTATAAAAAAAAAACACAGTTGTCTTGCATCCCCGAGGGCCACTGCTTTCAGCCCCTCACACTATTCTCTCGGTGCTTTCTCCAGTTTTTGAAGCTACACGCTGGCACCTCAGTATCCCGACCCTGCTGACTCCGCACAATGAAAAGCTAGGGCTTAGCCCTCCTCCCATTCCATACCCCACATCAGCATCCTTCCCACTTCTCTTGCCCCTTCCTTCCTTCCAATATAATTGGGTCACAGTTTGATAAGGTCAACATTCAGGGTTTACACTATCATAAGTAAGGAAACGCTCCTCTCCCAGCTCGGGGGTTTGGGGCATGAATCACACCGCTCCTTGGCTCTCCCCTCTGCTAGCCGAAGATGTGGCTTTCTCAGGTCTGTTGAGTCAGTAACCATTCATCTATTTTGCAGTATCTAAAATGTAAAGGTCATTGCTTCTTATTCCAAGCTCTATGTCCCCATAGATTTTATGCCGTTAAAAAAAAAATTCCTGGGCTTCCCTGGTGGCTCAGTGGTTGAGAGTCTGCACGGGTTTGTGTCCCGGTCTGGGAGGATCCCACACGCCACGGAGCGGCTGGGCCCGTGAGCCATGGCCACTGAGCCTGCGCGTCGGGAGCCTGTGCTCCGCAACGGGAGAGTCCACAGCAGCGAGAGGCCCGCGTACCACCAAAAAAAAAAAAAAAAAAAAGAAATTCCCTGTTCCTGTTCTAGTGGACTTTAGAGAAAAAGCAGAGATAAGAGGTTGTATTCAGTTCACCATCTGTAACCAGAAGTCTGCCAGGCTCTACCTCTACCCAACCAGGGAAACTGCTCAAGTAATTAGTCCTTTCCCATCCCCACAATACATTTGAGGGTAAGAATGCATTTTAGACAAATTAAACTGCATGCCTAGATTCTTATTCTGCCAGCTTCCGACCTGGTCTCCCTGCTTCCAGTCATTTCCACCGTGGTTCATCATCTAAACCACAGAACGATGGGCTTCCCCCAAAACATAAACCTGACCACGGCATTACTAACACAACCTTCGCTGGGGCTGTGTTTCCCACTGCCCTTTGAATAAAAAGTCCGAACTCCTTAACATGGCTTCTAGGGCCTTCCCTGATCTGTTCTCTGCCTCCCTGACTTGACTTCTGCAACCTCCCTCTCAATCCCCATGCTCTAGACACACTAAACCTCTCTGTTCTGTGCACTTTTTCACCCTGAAATCGTCACAGGGCTCTTTCTTCCTTCCGGTAGCCCCTCCCCTCTCCCCCGCTTCTCCCACCCAGTCTCACCCCACCTGGCTACCTTCTACTCATCCTTCTGGTCCCAGTTAAACCTCTCTTCTCTTCTCAGGGACTTTAGACTGAGTCAGGTCTGCAGTTCAGGCTATTAGGGCCCTCAAGGCACCACGCATCCCCTACCGCGGTAGCCTAGCCCTCCACTTCTGTCATCACTTAACGACTTGCACCATTTATGCAACATCTGTTCCATCCAGTGACCAGTAAACTCTGATGGCAGGGACACTGTCTATTCTCTGGGCTCCTCTGTGGATACCCAGGGGCCTTCCAGTAGAACAAGATGCCCAATTTGAATTTGTAATGAATGAATCCATAATGTTGAACACAAAATCGAGGTAGGAGAGTTTCTGAAATATCCTAGTGGAACGATTATTTTTTTCAGAAAAGGTATTTGTGAAATGGTAAAGGTATTATATATATATGGTAGCATTTAAGAATGCTGTTTTTGGTGTCATACTTCAGGAGTGCACAAAGACATTGTTCTTAAGGAAAAACAAATCCAGTTATATTTTCTTGTGTTTTCTTCTTTTTCTTTTTGTGGGGGAAGAATTTATCAGCTGGAATTAAATTGATACTTTTTTCCCCATAAAATTAAAATTAAAGATACAGAGCAGAAAGTCCAGTTGAATGTAGTGGGAGAGGCATGGGATGTTAAGTTAGCCCATGTCCTATCCTCTTTGGGACAAAAATCTCCACAGAGCTTACACAGCCATATCAGTTTCACATTTCTATTCACAACAATACTTCAAATACCTGTTTGGAGGAATTTGTTCCTGTTTTTGCAGGTGTTTAAAAATGTTAATAACTTTGCCTAAACCCTGTTGAAAATTGTATCTGACAGATTCGCTTCTTTTGGAGAGGCCATTCTGTGAAACAGAATAAAGATGCAGCTATAAGCAAAATAGCTTTTGGTTTTACTAGCCATGTAACTGTCAGGCTCTTTACAGGTCCTTAAGACGGCTTTTCCCGCCATTTCTCTGCGGCAAGAGGGGCATCTCGGTACTCACACTGCCTGCTCCTCCAGCTCCCCTCCGATGCGCTGGGACATGTTCTTCAGCACCCCGATGCTGCCAGAGACCAGCTCCAACTGCTCATCCTGCTGTTCCACGATCAGCTGGTGCCAGAGAAATGGGAAATCAGCAATTAAAATCCATCTTACCTGGTTCCAAGCCCAGCACTCTAGCAGCTGCTAGCTTCCTTGCCAACTCGGGACAATTCACATTCAGAAGCAAAGCCCAGAAATCAAAGGACCAGACCGTTGCCTCGGAGAACACGCTGCTCAAAAGGCTGGGTTGTAAAGCTACTGATCTCCCCTGCTGATCCAACTTGTGAACAGTCAGCGGGGCTTGAAACCACCCAGAGAGATTTACCCTGGTTGGCTGAAGTCCAACAAGGGACAGACAATGGCCGAAAGCACCTGTGCAGTGACCACAGACACATGGGGACGCTTGGGAAGAGGAAGCCCGCTGCCAGGGTCAAGGTCTCAATCGGCAACAGCCGGCCACAGCTTAACTACAAGAGAAAGTCTGGCAGATCTCTAGATGTGGGAAAACTACGCACACAGAGTCCTTTGCTCCCTCCTCAAGGACAACTAGAGGAGGCTCTGTGACAGCAAGCAGACAACTTCAGAGCCATAGTTACTTTTAACTGTGTTGTAGTCGCCTTTTTATTAAAAAAAAAAAAGTGTGCTTGGTTAATAACAATGTGAGTAGACAAATGGTTAAGCAGACATGCTAATAGAAGAACAAAAGAACACATAACCTACATTGAATATATTAAAAACAGTATTTAAGAACCAGTAGTTTTGATGGATAGATAATCCTCAAATCCCCAGATACTTCATCATTAGCTTCCTTTTATTAATACAACTACATATCAAAAGCAACAATACAAGGGTAATCAACCTCACTTTCCTTCTACCCCTTAACCTCCACCAAAGCAATCATTTTTATATATAATGGAACCAAAAATTTCAATGAAAAAACAAGGACTAAATTTTTCTAGAAGTGCCTTTGTTGAAATGAACAAAAGCCGAGCACAGAAGTGGAGGCTGGGGAAGAGGCTGCTGTATTTTCAAACCAATGGCCTCCTCTGTCAGTTTCGGGTGTCTGGTCTGCTTGTCCTAAGAAATCTAATCAAGATTGGTTCTCTGGAAACTCATGCTCTGAAGGACGTTTTAAACAGCCTTTCTATGTGCAATCATCACACAGGTAGACTCAGGCAGCTGCAGGGCGAGCTCTGGTCCATCCTGCCTGTCATTAGCAACAAAGCCCCCGGGGTGGCAGAGGAGCGGGGAGGGAGGTACCTGGCCTCCCACCTCCCTGTGCTCGGCTGGTGGTTCTCAGGTACCTGCTGCTGTGCCTGTTGCTCCTCGATGAAATGGGAGTTGGCCAACTGGAGCTCCCGGTCAAGGCGCCCATATTTATCCATCGTTCCAGTGTTCCAGTTCTGTCCGCCACTGTCTCCTAGCAGGGCCTGCGAGAGTGGGGCAGGGGGCAGCAGGGAAGAAGAAACAAACCATTACTATCTCTGAACAAATACCCCATCACCATGATCCAAAGATTTCTCCCAGTGCTCATAAGCTGGCCTCCCTGGGGTCAGCCTTTTATGTAGTGGTGTAGGGTAGTGCCTGTGGGGTACAATTTAAGGAATGCCAGGAAGGGTACTCTCTATTTCCAAGCTCTCCCAACGGGACTCACAAATGGGCTCTGTCCCATTAAAATGCCAATAAGTGTCAACTTGAAATCAACAAACACCCATCTGTGTACTGCTTTGTGGATCTAAAGGCACTTGGTCTCTGTGCGCCAGTTCTTCCTAGCACCCTTGGAAGTTCACCAGAGACCTGTTGTAGGTTCTAGTCTAACTGATTCCAGACAGCTAGAGTCCTTTCTATTTAAGCATGACCCAGGGAAGTTTTGGTTCTTTGGAGGGGAGGGGAGAGAGTTCCCTAAAATGACAAGAAGCTAAGGCACAACCCCTCACACACAGAAGGCGCAAGAACCATCAATGTGTATTCAATGTAATCCACAGATAAATCCCAATGCCCTTCAGGTGAACTAAAAGGCTACAGGTTTCCCAGACAGAACTGGGGGTTTGTTTCACCAGGCAGCATGGCCACAGCGGATGCGTGACCCTGATGACCCAGGCAAGCGTTGGCCCTGAAGTCAGTTCTCGACCTGGGCCCCCAGACGCCAGGGTCAGGTTTCTCAGTGTGAATTTGAAGAAGTTTGTAGCCAGAAAAGGATAAGTTTGGGAATGTCTTCCTTCCTTGAAGAGGCCAGCCAACAATGTGAGCTGGCCCTGCCTGGAATGCCCACAAGCCTTTCTGACTTGGCCAAAGTACTGCTCAAACCAGCCCTGCACAAAGAATTGGAAGACGCTGGCGAATAGGATTCTTCTTCCTTGAAGAGCTGTCAGATCTCACCAGGTACTTTTTAGCTCTGGAACTGTTAAAAGCCTACCTGACTACTTGGTTCTGTCTGAAAAGCCCTCCCATAGCCCCTCAATGTTGACATTAGCCTCACCTGACTTTCAGATGTGAATTCAGCCAAATGGCCACACCTGAGGCTAAGTTCAGGGAAGCTCAGGATGCATCTTAGGTTCTGACACAGTTATGAGAAGAAAATCAGGAGGCCTGAGAGCTTCCAGCAGCCCAGGGCCTCAGTCAAGAGTCTGGATGGTAACTGTCTCCGGTATAAGGCAGACCCAAGGCTTTTTGGGGATGGCTCTGCTCCAAACTGGTTGCAGGGTTGTCAAGATTTCAAAGGTCCTGCTCGTTTTGATGCGAAGGCTCTAAGGACTCTATGGAGGATACTGGGGCCTAGTGATAATTTTTTCAAGGTCAGAGAAAGGCTATAGTGCATCATTAGGCTATGGGCAGAGAACTGGAGCTCCCGGGGTCACAGTCAGGGCTATTTTTTCTAGCTTACCTATGGTCTACTCTTGGGTGGACATATGTCATGCTGCTAAGAGTCATCTGTGCTTTATTGTGAGGCAGTTTAGATTTCCTCAGTCTGACCTCCAGGAGTCTGGTTAGTGGGACAGAAGATAGAGGGCCCGGAGCACCAAGGACCAGCCTGTGTGCAGGTGCCAGAGCAGGAGGTCCTGGCTAAGCAAGGAGCGCCTGGTGCTAGATGAAGCATCGAGGTGGACTGTGCCTGTGTGAGTGCTTAGAGAACCCTGGCCCCGCTTTTCCTTGAAACCCTGTGACTCGGAGGCATTTTACTCACCACCCAAAACAAAAATTCCCAGCCATACTTGGAAAGGCTACCTATAAACACACATTTTATTTATTTATGTTAGTTCAAATATACTACCTAGAGAATAAAAATTCAAATAGAAGTAGTAGAGGATAGGTGTTACTGTTCACTGTCAAAACTAGTGATACTTCAGGTAACTGTCACTCAACTTCTGTAAGCTGAAGCAGAAACGAAAAGGGGACTCCAAAATTTGGCCAGCCTGCGGCCGTTCACTAGCTTCTCTTAAGAGTTAGTGCCAGACGGGATGGGATGGCTAGCTAATGGCTTTCCTAGCTGCACTGAGAAGAGCAAGGAGGGTAAATGGGAAGAAAAAAACAATGACTTGGAAAATGAGATGCAGGGAAAGGAAACAGGATTAAGTTAGGTGATATTTAGAGAGTCCTCTCCCCTTTTCAAGCTTTTATAATACTTGTTTTCAAAATTAAGTGGGTCAAGAAACACCTACAGGTATAAAGTGAGCATTTACATCATAAACTCCTGATTCTTAGTTAGTTAAAAATGCCGAGCTGATTTCTTGAGTTACCAGTTAATAAATTCAAGGACTGGGTCTCTTGTAGCTTTTATTTTTGATGTGTCAATATCTGGGCTTTGGTTTCTGAAATTAGGTTTCATAATTTATTTGTAATAACTTATAAAAACTGGACCTCACATCAAAAAAACAAAAGATACTTAAAATGGTGAAAGATTTACCACACATTAAATTAACACACATTTAAGTTTCCTCAAATGCTTTACATAAAATTTCAATCATTAAATGTCTAGTGAGTTCTATGCATAGGCAATGTAATAGCAGCTAGAAATAAAAAGAAAAAAGACCATGACACCATCCCTCCTAACTCACAAAGGAGCTTGAGGTCCAGCAGAGAAAGTAAGCAATTACAGCTCTTAACAGAGCGCCTGGTACACGGAATATGCGCAACAGGTGCAGAATAAATGGCCTGGGGCAAAGGCTCTAAGGTACGCTCCGCAACCGGAGCCCAGAGGAGGAAACCAGAGGGTGTGAGGGAGGGGAGTGGAGACAAGGCTGCCTGCCAGCATCACTATGGGCTCAGCACACAAGGTCTTCTGCTTGAATACATGATACACGAAGTCAGAATTTTTAAATTCCAAATATCTCTGTATTTTCTTTGATTGATACTGTATATTCTGACATTTACCCACCTGTCTATTTTTCCTTTCAGCTAATGCCTGCACAGATGAAGCTGACATCTGATCCTTCATGTCCTAATGAGATAAACAGAACACCAGAAAACAAATGAACATCCTTAAACAAAATCATGGTTAATATTTTGCACACTAGCAAAATATGCATAATTTATTATTAATTTTTAAACAAAAATACAGCATTCTTTGACTTCTATTTTCAGTCTCAAAAATAAAGGAAATAAAGAGAAGGACATGCCCTTAAAAAGAAGTAACCGGGATACTAAATTTAAATATGAGGAAAGAGAAAGTACTTCCTGGGTACCTACCATAGGCCGGAAACACTGTTAAACATGTACACATATGATCACTGACTTCCCACAATGCCCCTGTGAAGCTGGTATTACCTTCATTTTACAATTGAGGACACTAAGATGTAGAAAGACTAAGGTACTTTCTCAAGGTCACATAGCCAGTAAATGGCAACCCTGAGGTATACAAACAAAAGCTGTGTTCAAGGGCTAGCATCTTTAAGTATAATACATGTAAAAAAACCATGCACTTTATGATAAAGTATATTTACCATTACATGCCAGAGAATATTTTCAAATAGTGATAAACAGGTAACGTATTTTATTTGAGTTGCGTTCATGTGAAGTACAGACTATTTCTAACACCAGTATTTTCCAGAGTGGTATCAAAAATAATTTTGTATGCAAAGAAAAATGAATTACTTAATCTAAAACAAAACACTTGGGGATTCCCTGGTGGTGCAGTGGTTAAGAATCCACCTGCCAATAGAGGGGACACAGGTTCGAGCCCTGGTCCAGGAAGATCCCACATGCCACGGAGCAACTAAGCCCGAGTGCCACAACTACTGAGCCTGCGCTCTAGAACCCGTGAGCCACAACTACTGAGCCCATGTGCCACAACTACTGAAGCCGTGTGCCGCCAACTACTGAAGCCGTGTGCCGCCAACTACTGAAGCCGTGTGCCTAGAGCCCATGCTCCACAACAAGAGAAACCACCACAATGAGAAGCCTGCGCATCACAACGAAGAGTAGTCCCCGCTCACTGCAACTAGAGAAAGCCCGCGCGCAGCAACAAAGACCCAATGCAGCCAAAAATTTTAAACATAAAAATAAAACACTTTATTAAATATGAGCCATTTGCATCATATTTAACTACAACCCAATATACTTTAAAATGATTTCTGCTGAGTACATGATTATTATAATACAATTTTTCTTGGAAAAAAAAAAAGGATGCCAAAATACTTTATAATTTCCTGTTGGCAAGTAGGCTATTTTAGAGGTGCAAATGTTGAAGTATTAGGCTTTAAAAAACTTCTTCCAAGACCCACGACAAGTGAATGGTAGATGAGACAGTGCCACAGCTTTCCTGATTCCTACTATGAGAAGTCTGAATGACAACCACCTTGCTGCAACCTTCAAACTGCCTGATCCCTCGCTCAGCAAATACCGACTGATGCCCAGTGTGTGCCAGAGCACAGCAGTGACGATACACAGTGTCCTTGCCTGACGGAGCTCACATCATGGTGGACAAGAGGCAAACAGCAGTCACACACACACTTCAACAGGGTGACTAGCATTTTGGGAAGGAAGGGAGTCAACAGGGCTGAAATCCAGTGGGTGAACGCCACTTTAGAAAGATGGGGGTGACACGTGATCGAGACCTGAGGGCCGAGAATGAGCCCAAAACAGAAAGAGCAAGGGCAGAGAATTCCAGGCAGAGGAAACAGCAAGCACAAAAGCCTGGAGGCAGGAAAGGCTCAATGCCTTAGCTTTTGAGAAGGAAGGCCCGATTGTCTGAAGGAGCCACTGTGTGCTGGGTGTCGGAGGGAGGATGTAAGACACGTCTGGCCAAAACACGCAGGGCCTTCAAGCTGCTTAGATTTTATTCCGAGGCAGTGGTTGGCAAACTTCTTCTGTAAAGGAGTAGATATTAAATATTCAGCCTTTGTCACATTTTTTTTTTTAACCACCCTTTAAAAAATGTAAAACCATTCTTAGATCTCATAGGCCACAGACTGCAGGCCCCTGCTCTACGGCAATGGAAAGCCCTTAAAATATTTTGAGCAGGGCCATGGAGTATTCTGGTTCATGTTTTAAAAGATCACTTTGGTTATTCTGTGGGGGAAATGTTGGCAATTAAGCAAAGCAGAGGTAAAGAGATCATTTTACTGCCACACATTGAAGTGCCGCCCACGATGGGAAAGGGTGCCTCTAGGAACAAGTGCCCTGACGTTGGAGGCCTTCAACAAGAGGGTATGTGAGCCCTTGGAAATGACACTGGGCAAGCAGGGTGTCGTTCACCCACTGGATTTCTGAGGGTGCTCTACCTGGGGTCCAGCTGACCCATAAATTTTAAATTTTATCTGTTCACAAACCTCAAAAGAAAAAAAAAAAATATATATATATATAAGAATGCCACCCACAGAAACTGAGAAAAATTTACTTAGTAAAAAAAGTATTCACCATAAAAATGGAGGTATTGGTACGTTTAAAACAAGGGAAACTTAGTGATATAAGCCATGTTTCTTAAATGTTTGAGATCTACCTGAGTCAGTCACCTGAGGTGCTGTTAAAAATGCAGGTCCCTGGACCCCACCCAGCCCTTCTAAGTCAGACTCTAAGGAACAGTTTAACAAGTCTCCCAGGTGAGAAGCTGTTTGAGAAGCTCGGATCCCCACAAATTCTAGAAGCCTTCAAAGGAGACCATTATGCTGTTATCTCCTGGACTGCAGGATTCCTTTTCTAATTATCAATTAAATTGGAGTTTAAGATGATATTCTGATATTCAAACAATATGAATAGTACAATCCCATTTATTTGATATACATTAATAACTACACAAAGCAAATATCTGAGTTGTTCACTGGTGGGATAATATATGCTTTTTTTAAATGCATTTAATACATTTTACAGTAGCCTTTTTTAAAATAATGAACATTACTTGCATAATAAAAATATCAGCTCACATGTATGGAAAAAGTGACTTTGAAGTTCCAGTTGAACTTTGAACACTGTCTGTAGAATGTGCTTTTGCTGTTAGAAGGTAGGACAGTGAGGGGGGCAGTAATGACTGTAAAAGCACACAAGGGGGCTTCTGGGGGGTGCTGGGAATGCTCTGGAATGCTGCTTCCATGGTTGGGATCAGTTTATAAACTCTTTAAACTGTATATTTGGGGTGCATGCACTTTCCTGTACTATTATAACTTAATAAAAATGTTTAAAAGAAAACTACTGCTCTTGAACAATGGCTGGAAGGTAAACTAGACCAACCCTTTGAAAATAAATTTGGCATTTTGCATTAAGAGCTTTGATATTTGTAACAAATATCCACTGCCTTGACCCAGTAATTCTAACAGGACTTATTTTAAGGAAATGATAGAAAATATATACTGAAACAGATATGCAAAGATGTAAACTGCAGTGTTATTTACAATATAAAAGAAAAGTAGAAATAAGCATCATATCCAAACAAGAGAATAGTAACTTATAGTAAAGCTATACACAATGTAATACCATATACTAGACATTACACTTAGGAAGAGAGTTCGGTGAACAGACAATTCACAGAAAAACACAAATGATCAAACATGAAAAGATGCACTAACCCATTAATAATCAAAGAAGTGCAAGTTAAGAGATATTTTTCCCAGTTAGATTGGCAAAGATGAAAAGGATGAACACTACTTAGTGTTGATATAGGTATTAAGGAACACGGAATCTACACTCTGCTTTTAGAAATATCATTGATAAGGTCTCTTTGCAGGATACTTTGAAAATATTAACCAATGTTTTAAATGTGCATTTTCATTGAACTTTTAGTTCAATGTTAGTTCAATATTAAACTTTTTAGTTCAATATTTTCAATATTTTACTTAAATATTCAGGATATGCTCACAAAGATGGTTCCTGAAGTATGATTTGCAATTGCCAAAAATTAACAACCACCTAATATCTACCAATAGGGTCAATGATCAAACAGATCATAATAGAACCAGGTTAGAGAAGAGGTTAAGAGCATAGTCTTTCATGTCAAAGACCTGGGTTCAAGCTTAAGTTACGCTTTTTAGTAACTATGCAAAGTTGTGCAAATTACTCAATTTTTCTAAGTGCCTGTTTCTTCTGTATAATATTTTATAGGGTCATTGTGGGGACTGATAAAGTATGCAACCATTAAAAAGGATAATCTAAATCTACTCTATCCAATAGCTATTAGCCAATTACGGTTACCTATTGAGATCATGAAATGAAGTCAGTGCAACTGAGGAATTAAATTTTTAATTTTATTTAGTTTTAATTAATTTAGATTTAAATTCAATTACTGGAAAACTTTCACATGTCTGGAAAATACATGGTGTGCAAATCAACCTTTTCAACTGTATTATAAACTCTAAATGCAGATGAAGTATCCCCAATGAAAAGTTCACTTCTGAATTGAGATATCCTTAATCGTAAAATATATGCCAGACTTAGAAGTTTTAGTAAAAAAAAGTTTTAAAAATTTAACAAAACATCTCTATTACTTTTATATTGATATGTTTAAATAATAATCTTCTGGATATACTAAGTTAAAAAATACATTAATTCACCGTTTCTTTTAACTTTTAAAATATGACTACTAGAAAATTAAAGATAGCTTGCATTTTAGTATTTCTATTGGACAGCACTGGTCTAGATATATCTGTATTGATATAAGACTATGTCCACAATATTTTTTCATAGAAAAAAATTACAGACTAATGTCATTTCTTTTAAAAGTGTACTTCAATGTCTATAAAATGGCTAGAAAAAATACTTAAAATTGTGATTTTTTTTTAGGGAGTGGAATTACAGAATGGAGGGGCATTTCACTTCTTAATCAAAATTATCTGCATTTTAAAAATAGTATGAATTACTTTTAATTTTAAAAGTTAAAATAAAAAATGCTTATGACTGCATAACAGTATGATCACAACTATGTAAAAAACACAACAAAGTTTTGTGTTTACGTTTCTTATTTTGAGTTTAGGTTTTTCTATTTTTTCCTCTTGTAAAATTTTTCTAATTTTCTTTGAAGTGAGCACGCGTTACTTTAATGAAATACACGGTTTAAAGTTCCAGTTTAAAAATTTTCTGTTTAATAAAATATGTGTGTGTGGGTATACGTTAGCTCTGACGGTCAGTGAACTCAACAGCTGTGTGGTGCGCATCCTGTTTGGGGCCATGGCAGATGGTAAAGAGCTATGGCTTTCACTTTCAGGATGGCACTTTTTTTATGTAGTGTAAAAGTTGCCAGATACCATACCACAGATTACCTTCTTATTAGGATATGGAATTTTAAACTATGTTACTAAACAGTTTTGAGCATTTTTTAACCACCTGTCATGCCAAAAACATAATTACTCATCTTTAAAAAAAAAAAACAACAAGTTATTTGTTGTTGTTTTGGCCACGCTGCGCAGCTTGTGGGTAGTTCCCCGGCCAGGGATCGAACCCGGGCCCTTGGCAGTGACAGCGTGGAGTCCTAACCACTGGACCGCAAGGGAATTTCCTCATCTTCTTTCTAATACAAGAAGTTTAGAACAAGCAGTCAAGACAGCAGTTAGTATCGATAAAAAATGGTTCACCTGCCAAAAGAACAACAATGGTCCCGGTTGTTTATGCTCCTGTTCCCATTTTATGCCATCTTCCAAGCTGAGTGAACGGCACACTGTAAATCCCAGTGCTTCCCACTCAGAGGAGTCACATCCCAGTGTCATTTGTAACCACAGAGTATGACTCACCCTTTTTGATTAACCAAAGCCATTTCTATCTTGACTTATAACTGACTACCAACAATTCTTGGGTTTTAAGAGGTTGGATTTTGGGGAGGCGGTGCTATAGTTCTGACTGCCTTTGAAAGTTTAAACAAAGTTGGAGAATGTTAGTGAGGATCATTTAATTGATAAAACTGAGATCCAGAGAGGCTAAATGACTTGCCATGCTGAAAATTTATTAAGGTCTCAGCTGAGCCTAGAACTCAGGTCTCCTCACCTCTCTCACTGTTCTGTCATTTACTGCAAAAGCTTTCACTACTAAATTAACCCCACGTCACTTCTGCAATAGATTTCCATAACATGAACATCTCACAAGCGAAAACTCTGATGTATACGTGACTCCACAAATGTAAAAATGATGACCTCAAAAATACCAAGGTTATATAAACAAAAACAAGAATGTTTTGCTTTCTTTAGTAAAAACTGCCAGCAAAGGGCTTCCCGGGTGGCACGGTGGTTGAGAGTCCGCCTGCCGATGCAGGGGACACGGGTTCGTGCCCCGGTCCGGGAAGATCCCACATGCCGTGGAGCGGCTGGGCCCGTGAGCCATGGCCGCTGAGCCTGCGCGTCCGGAGCCTGTGGTCCGCAACGGGAGAGGCCACAACGGTGAGAGGCCCGCGTACCGCAAAAAAAAAAAAAAAAAACAAAAAACTGCCAGCAAAACTTAATAAAAACTGCACGAACTTAAAAGACGTTTTGAAAAACATATACAAAACTTTTTAAACAAAAATGACTTATTAAAAAACAGTGGACATTGAGAGGATAAACAAAAATAACTTATTAAAAAGCAAAAACAGTGGACGTTAATTGAGAACAAACACAAGAGAAAGATTTAGTTCTTCAGGTAGAACAGCAACAACAGATGTATAATGCCCTAAGAAGGAGAAAGCACAATTGGCATACACTGTGGATCAAAAGGTATTCCTTTAAGCAACTAAATGAAAACCCACTGATAATGGTAACAGGAGCTTACATAAACTTGTGATGTACAAACTCCTAATCTGGGCTTGGTCTTGTGTTTCATTTCCCCAAATTGCTAACTCTCTGATCCCACAGTATCAGTGTCCTCCAAGTGGAACCCAGAGAGTTCTGGATACAAATACTGTTCAGCTGAATGCAATAATATTGAATCAAAACAATGCTTTTTTTAAAAAAAAATCAAGTTAGCATCAATTACCACGTCTCTTCTACAAAACCTCAATTAGAATTTATTAAAATCAGATGAGCAAAAACTCAGTTAGGTACTATTAACCCATCACCGGCAAATAGTAACAGCTTTCAAAAAGGAGTAATAAATTAGAAGAATGATTAAAAACTCTAAAACATTCAGTTGCGTCACACAGTTGAGTACAGTTTAGATCTCAACTATAAAAGGACTGCAACATTATGAAGTATGGACTTGATTTAGAATACTTCTTTCAAAGAACGTACTTTAAAAAGCTTTTCAATTATTATAAAATGAACTTTGGATTATACTTCCAATTATACCAACTCACTTAACTTTTACTATGTTGACCTCTGAATTTCAATTTGCAAAATTTACAAGTACTACCTTGCAGAAAAACAAATATAATGATTAAAGTCAAGAATATACGCTTCACTGCAAGGCACCATTTAAATACCAACATCTACAAAAGTCATTTTCAGAAAAATCTATCACAAAAAATTAAAAAAGCACACACTACATTTATAAAATAAGGAATTGGGAAATTATTTACCTTACCAAAAAAATACATCACCCAACAACAGGGCTTCCTTATCAGAATAGCCTCTGAACTGGCTAGAGACTAGGAGTGTCTAATCCAAATGTTCATCATATAGATGGGGCACCTAGGTCTAAAAAGGTTACTGCCCCCATTACAATGTGGGTTTATTTCTAAACAACTTAGGTACATGGATACAGAAAGGCAACTAATGAGTAAAGGAACAAGGATATTTAAAGTACAGTGATAACCTACCATCTGAAATAATTTCAAAAGGAAATCACATGACATGGAGTCTTTGGCAAGCACACACCAAGGTTCCCGCCTAAGATGACTCTTAAAAAGCCATATGTTAGCACTGGTATGATCCCAAGTCTTTTTATTCAAGGAAGCTGCTTTCTAGTACATATGTTAAAGACAGGTGGTTCTCCTACATCTAGTTATGCTAATCAACTGGCTTAGCCATATAGTTTCAAAATACAAACATATCTTAACGATACAAGATTTCACTTAAATGCTATTTTCTCTTAGGTTTTTTTAATAATAGGTTATTATCTAAATAATTTTAGACTGAAGATTTGTTCCCTTGGATTGATTTTTTACATGCTGATAGATGCTTGCTTGCTCTGGATAACTCCCGAAAGGCTGTCAAGCCGTTGTATATTGAAACGTCAGTAAATGGGTTGCAAGAGTTCCAGAAGCAATTCAGATGGTGGAAGAGGCCGCCATCCAAACCCAGTAAGAGTACCCTTCACAATGCAAAGGGATTACCAATCAATCAGGAAAGCAAATGGTTTCTACAATAGCAGTTCTTCTTTTTGTCTAGAAATACAGTATACTAAGAAATATAGAGGAAAAAAGATAACTGGTTTGGAGAAATGAGAGGTATGGACAGGAAGATTACAGTAACCTTCCCAAAGCCAGCAGCCTACTCTCTCATTTTTGCTCTGAGAAAAAAGGCTGACCGATACTAAAAACAGATTTCTTTTCAATCAGAGAAATATGTAGAAAACTGGCATTTAATTCATATTAAAAAGGAGTTTCAGAGTTGACCTATTAGTTTAAATTAAAGGGAAGAGTTCAGAGAAGTCTGGCTATCTCTTGCACAAATTACACAGTAAGATCACATCCCTTACCCTGACGACTTGCCGAGTACTTGTGATGAAAGCTTTTCTTATACTCAATTCGGTTGCATCGAGGTTGAATTTCCTAGGATTTGCTTCGACTATGCGTGGGTCAAAAAGTCAAGGTAAAGCAATTTCATCATCGAAAACCTAACCACCAACATCATGTGAAACCACAGAATCTCTCACAGCAATAAAATCTGGCCCAGCGTTTCTGAACACATGGTCAACTTGGCACTAATGATCCTCAAACTTTCTCTGCCCACGGCTAGATGAGGATCCTTGTGCCCCGAGGCAGAGATGACCCGCCTGGGTTCACCGCAAACCCACGGCTGTCTGACCACAGCTGAGCTGGGCTCTTCCAGATGCCTGCCAGCACGTTTTTTGACTCCAGGTCACCTTTCAGTGGACAGCTTTTGTCCTGGGAAACAGCAAGCTGTTTTCATTTGCCATTCCAACTCATTCCACTTCTGTCAAGAAGCTAACTCTGCTTCTTAACCTAGAGATCGAGGCTTCTTTTGTGAAGCTTTCCTGCTCTCCTCACCCCCAGCTTGGTTCTGCTGCCCGTGTCACTCACATGGCTGTATACACTTGTGCCAATATTTGACTAATGTCTGTTTCTCCCACGGTAAATTCTACAAGGGTTGGTATAGTTTTGCTTATCAATCCAATCTCAGTAACTAACAAAATGTCCAGCACATAGCACACTCGATAACTATTGCTGAATGTCGAATATCTATTAAAACTTTTGTCCTCTTATCTCACAATTTCTCTCTCTCCCCCAATCTTTTTCTCATCCCTCCTACCTCGAGGGAAGACCTATCTCCCTGTAACTGTGCTTTTGATCCCACTCCCTCACGTATTTTGTTCCACTAGTTTTAGAGAACACCTTTGTCTTTTAATAATTTAGAAGGTGCCCCGCGGTCACTGTGATTAATAGAAATTATGGACTCCACATCCAGTCTGACTCCAGGGTCCAAGCTCAAAATCACTGCACTAGGCCACCTTCACGTTGCAGGATCTGACTACTCTACCTTAGATTACTGGTCAACGATTTTAAGTGTGTCATGGTACGAATAAGGGCAACATCAATCAACGATAAAAGGCAATATCTAATCTATGTACTTGAGACATCTAGATGAAACTTGTCCATCTGTCTGCTTGCCTCACGTGGCACAGACACTGCAGAAAAGGATATTGATGGTTTCGTCAAGGTCCTCTAGATCCCACTCTATGCTCCGGAGGTTGTTTCTCAGCTCATTGGTGGTCCAGTCGATTTCTTCCCTCGTGGCTGTGGATGGGTCCTGGAGGAGCTCTGTCCATCTCTGAAACAATCCCTGTGCAGTGTTGACTGCTTTCTGTACCTCTCTGTATTCAGGTGAAGGGAAAGGAGAGATATGAGACAGCATGTTCCACGAGCAACTTATAAGACTTAGGTGAACCTTTACGATCAGACACCATCCTCAGCAACCACCATTCCCCAAAGTGTTTTTAAGTCGTTACAGAAGGCTCTTCATGGACAAATATCAAAGTTCAAAACTTTAAAATAACAGGCTGAGTATTATTTCAAAATAAAACAGCCACTACTTAAGCAGCTATAATTACCAAGTTTGTTTGTGAAGGACAAAATTTAATTTTTCTAACGGACTGTCCTTAAAAGTAGTCTAAGAAGCTATAATATAAATTAACTAAAGGGCCGTTAACATTCACACATGTTGCCAGTTGGAGTGAAGTAATTTATATTCAGAAGAAAAGGTTCTAAAACAACTTTCCTTTTCTTGGGGAGGTTCGTGTGGAAAAGGGGTAAAAAAGGATAGAAGGAAGGGTTACTCTTACACAGCTAGTCTTTTAGAAGGCAAGTATTTTAACCTGAGACATTTTAAAATCCAACATCTCATTAGAAGATTCCTAAACAGTATTAGCTTTAAATGTATCTACTTTCCTGGATTAAGCAACTCTGTACAGCAGATTAGTGCTTCATGCTTAGGGAGTGAGACTAGGCCATTAAGAGCGATGGTCTATTTTGCTTTTAGATACAGTCACAAGGTCTTAAAAACTCCTCCCCTGCCCCTGCCATTGGGCCAGTATCCACCATTTAAATATTATAACCTAACACTACCACATATAAAAGCCAAAAAGGACTCATTTTATAATCATGGTCTCTTGTGTACAAAGATTATAATCTTCATGCTCCTAAACGAAGAGATCTGTTTTGATCCTTCTATGATTTCTTCACCAATTCTTCTGGGTGTTCAATCAGTGTGTTCATTATCTATTGCTTTAAAACAGAAATTGCACGCATCCTATTCCCTCTGACATTTCAAGTACCAGAGGAGACAGCACTAACAAAATGAAGAAAGGTGCCTTACAATATCTTGGACTGTGAATACTGATGAGAGCTAAAAAGCTGAATGTTAAATAGAGAATACAGCCAGCTGAATAAATCACTGAGCTACGCAGCCAACAATGAATCTACCAAGGTTACGTTCATAACCAGTTCATGGGTTAGGCAAGTCCCCTCATTTTTCCTCTCACATCAGTCTTATGCTTTTAGCGCTAAAGAGAAACTCTATATGAGACAAAAAGAGGAAGGACTAAGTAAGTGAGATGTCAATCTGCTATCTTTACTCTTTACTGAGGTTTCTGGCTGATTTGGTAAAGAAAGAGGTATACATTTTGCCATAATATGAAGTACTTGGTTTATTTGTAAGTGTTGAATATCCTCTATGACAACAGAAGACAGAGTTAAAAAGGTATCTAAAATGATATCTCATTCTAAAGAATATGAAAATTATCAGTTCTGTAAAGGAAATTTGAATTCCTTTTTGAGAACTAGAAGCCTCAGGGCTAGGGCATACCACGTTCTCCACACCAGTAGACAACTAGGATGCCGGAATTAAACTCTTAAGCAGTGATCCATAAACTTTTTTGGTCTCAGGGCTCTTTTGCACTTTTCAAAATTACTGAAGACTCCAAAGAATTCAGATTAATGTGGACTCTATCTATTGCCACTTACTGTATTAGAAATTCAAACATATTTAAAAGTATTGACCAATTAATCCAACATAATGATGAAATTATGATATGTTAATGTTTTCACCAAAAATTTCTAAAACAACAATATTTAGTAAGAAGAGTGGCACTGATTCACATTTTTGAAAATCTCTTTAATATCTGGTTTAACAGTAGACAGGTGGATTCTCACATCTGCTTCTACATTCAGTCTATTGACATACGTTTGGTTGAAGTATATGATGGAAATCCAGCCTCATACAGATAGGTAGTTGGAAAAGGGAGGAGTATTTTAACAGTCTTTTCAGATAATTGTGGATATTCTTTCTTGACACAATACAAAAACTCGACAAGTGGCAGTTTCTTAAAGGTTAGCTGCAGCGTGGAAGCTGAAACTGTACCAAAGACGTTGTATATTCTCATACATTACAACCCACTGCTCCATCTTGTATTGTGAAGGGATGTTTTACCCACATATGATTTTACAGCATCACGTACTGGTCATTTGTAAAGTGTTAGTTTACTGAGCATCAAAGATCCTCCAAATGCTGACTCATTTCATTATACAATATCCAAAATCATATAATAATATCACCACCAATTCCATCAGAAAAACTTAACTACTGGGAATCTGTAAGATGATAGCAGTTGATACGAGCTTTCCAAAATTCTATTTTTTTAAAAAAGGCTCTAATTTCATCATCCATAAAAACACTGTCAGTTGTTTTCCGAGAAGTGACAGGTTCACCTCATTCATTTTTGAGAAAATCCCAAGATAATTTTGAGATTTTTGAACATATGCAAATCTCAATAACCAGTTTGCGAGTCACTCTTTTAAGAAAAAATAAGATTCTATGGAGGAAAAAACGAGCTATTTCAGCTCACAGCTGGATCACAGAAGTGCTTTCCCTGGAGTCACCATCTTAGCTCACAATACAGCCAAAGTGTTTCATGCACTCTCTCATTTCGTCCCACAGAGTATTAAAATGTGTACTAAGGCTGGGAGAAAACATTTGTGCATTACATGTCTAATTAATGACTTGTATCTACAATATATTTTTTTTAAAAAAAACTCTCAAAACTTAAGAAAACTCAATTTAAAAATGGACAAAAGATCTGAACAGTCACTTCACTAGAGACAACATACAAATGACAACTAGCACATGAAAAGATGTCTAATATCATTAGTCATCAGAAAAATGCAAAGTAAATCCACAATGAGATACCACTACAAACTCAGAATGGCTTCACACAACTAACCAACCAATTGACAATGCCAAGTGCTGACCAGGTGGTGGAGTAACTGGAACTCTCATTCATTACTGGTGGAAATGCAAAACTGTACAGCTACTTTGGAAAACAGTGTGGCTGTTTCTTAAAATTAAACATACAGGGGCTTCCCTGGTGGCACAGTGGTTAAGAATCCTCCTGCCAGTGCAGGGCACACAGGTTCAAGCCCTGGTCCGGGAAGATCCCACGTGCCGTGGAGCAACTAAGCCCATGCGCCACAACTACTGAGCCTGCGCTCTAGAGCCCGTGAGCCACAACTACTGAAGCCCACGCACCTAGAGCCCATGCTCCACAACAAGAGAAGCCACCGCGATAAGAAGCCCACACACGGCAACAAAGAGTAGCCCCTGCTTGCAGCTACTGGAGAAGGCCCGCGCACAGCAACAAAGACCCAACGCAGCCAAAAATAAAATAAATTTATAAAAAACAGAAACAAAAAAAACATACAAAACATACACTTACCATTATGACCCAACAACCCCACTTCAAGGTGATACAAAAACACACAGGTTCATACAACAACCTGCAAATTCTTATAGTAGCTTTAGTTGTAACAGCCAAAAATTGAAAACAACCCGAATGTCCTTCAACTAAGGAATGGAAAACTGTGGTACATCTGAACAATGGAATACTACTCAGCAATAAAAAGAAACAAACCACAAATACACACAACAATATGGACAAATCTCAAATGCATTATGCAAAATGTGAGAAATTAGAAGGCCACACACACCGTATGATTTCATTTCTGTAACATTCTGGAGAAGGCAGAACTATAGGGACAGAAAATAGATCAGTAGTTGCCAGATGCTAGGCATGGGGGAAGGGGGACACAGAAACTTTTAGGGGTGATGGATCTGTCCTGCAACTTATTTGTGGAGGTGGTCGTTACTGACTATACACATTTGTCAAATTTCACAGAAGTATACACTAAAAAGGGTCAATTTTACTGTAGGTAAATTATAGCTTTTAAAAAAATGAGGAAAGGTGTTCTTGGGACTCAAGATTTGATAATTTTCTTTTTTACTGTTTCATGAAGAACATTCTTGAAGGATATGATTCTCATTTTTCTTTTTCACTGTGAGGGAGGAATACAATGACTACTAGTACAGTTTGGTGCCACTGCCTTGATTTAGGCTCAGGCACCAGCAGTTTGCACCATCAGTGTTATTGTCAACATGATGAAAAAAAGCAAATAACATCTGAGTAGTATCATGAAAAGCAGTTTAAGCTGAGGGGCTCTTCTATGAAAGGATCTTGAGACCCCCTTGGGATCCAAGGGCCACACTTTCAGACTTGAGGGGGAGGAGGGGCAGGTGGGTAGACTCAATTCTTGCAGCACAGAGCGAAATCAAGGAGTCCTTAAGCATGCAAGAACTTGTGCATATCCTAAAGAAGAAATGAAAGAAACGGCAGGAATTAGAAAAATGCTGCAAAGCATTCCCAGGACGACATTCAAAACCCAACAGGCCTGGCCAGTGACCTGGCTTATTCCACTCTCAATCTCTTATTTTTAAAAGAGGTTTCATTTTTAGTTTTCATGTAATAGCATAGACATGAGAAAATCAAAGTAGTCTTAGTTTACATTTCTAAGACACGTTTTAAGGGATCACAAAGGTGGGAACTGTCAGCAATGGTTCAGATCTTGAAAAGCCAGAACACGCAGTGTGTCAAGGAATCCTATCTTAAAAGCAACTAACGGGGTCCCTCAAAGTTTAAAACATCTCCCAATTTTTCTTCTTCCAATATCAACTCAGCATAGCATTACCCTGAAAAAGAAGGCACGAATGAAGAGAAAACGTGTGTCACAGACAAAACCTATTTTTAAGCCAAATGTTAATGGTAACCGGAATATACCAAAGAACTTAGAATTTCTGAATAGTTTCAAGAGATACAAGACACAATGTAATAATGTACAAGACCCTACCTAGTGAGACAACCTGCTCAATTCAGAACTATTTGTAAATATCTGGGACTAAATATTTAGAATCACCCGTCATTCCAAGTAAACGGATGAATAGGACAGAGGAGTATATAACCACGACAGCTGTTTGATATTTGTGAGG